CACGACTCGTGCGTGTAACCTGCACATCGTTTGATTTTTGGAAAAACAAATTAGTTGCAATTAATTGTTTACATTGAATTGTATTTAACGATATATATACATTCCTTTTTATTTTACTCCTTTGTATATATATATATTAAAAATAAATATAAAGGAGAGTGAGTAATGAAATAAAAAAGATTCCGTATAAATGGAGATAAATACGATTTGAAATATTTTTGAAATTCTTTTGTCTCTAATCTCGCGTCATCTTGTTCTGTAAATATATATTAGGTTGTAGAATTTCATCAACAGATATCATTTTAATATTGATTTTATCGGAGGACAAATTTCGCATTAACAATATTTAAAGTTAACATTTAAGATATGTTAAAATTTGCAAATGTTATTATAAATTCCAATATTCATTTTACTTTGTTATATATATTTGTGATCTTTAGAGTATTTTACTGATGATCGTTAAATAGAATTCAGTAATTAATTGCAAGTAATTTGATATTAAGTTTGGCGAAGTGTAGCTAAATTGCAGGAATAAAATATAAGAGTTTGAAAATAGAAACGTCGATGTAGCCAATTATTCTTATCTTCAGACAAGCTCTATTCTGTATCGAACTTTATGCACAATATTTTTACTGTTTCTCGCAATCGTTTTCCTAATTCCTATTAAATATATTCTAATTTTGTAGTCAAATTTGACGTTTAATTTAAAAAAAATTATTTATTAAAATTATCATCCCAATTCAGGATTACTCAAGATCGATATGAAAAGGAGGAATTTTATAAACATTTGCCACGTTTCGTGGATCAAAGAGGATTATCGTAATCCAAATTATCTACGGCGGATTATCGATCGAAATTATCAATTTCGGCGTGTTGGTACAGTTAACGAATTGGCTCAGTCACTGTCGGGGCTAGAATTAACACGGAATATTAAGTAATGAGGGATACACGCTCAATCAAACTTAATGGGGGATTCGGAGCTGATTAGGGCCTGGTAATGAATAATGCAAATTGAAGGTTTCGCGTCTCGAAATTCATGCGATCGAAACTCGTATTCGCCACCCTGGGAGGGGGATGATGGGTTCAATGAACTCCTTTCTGGTCAAATTAAATCACCGAAACAATCGAAAACATTCCAAAGATAAAAATACATAAATATCAGTCGAAAATCATAAAACAGCTCTCTAAAATTCGAAACGCTAGAATTCCTCTCCCCTTACGAGTTTTCCATTCACGAGAAAATTCGCGTTTCCCTCGATTTCCTAAAAACGATTATCGAAAACGGTTCTCCAAAATTAAACGCCACGAGGTTTTGCGTATCGTGGACGATCGACGGAGTTATATACAATATATATATCACTATGAGCCGCGAAATGACAGCCTTTAATTATCCCCGTGAAGGATTTTCTCGGGTGGAACGACGAGGAGAGACGAGGAAAATTAAAGGGCACGGCGATAACGCAACCGTTCCTTCCCTTTCTTTCTCCCCCTTTTTTTTTTTCTTCTTCCCTCCCTGTATCGGTGCCAGCCGGCTCGCAACGCCCCGTGGCACCCCCGCCATGAATATTTGAATTCGTGAATCACACGGAACCGGTGCGCCCGTTTCATTTCCTGTTGCTGGCACGCGTCAGCTGGTCCTAGCGTGTGCGATTGTTAACGAGAAAACGACGAAAATGAAGGAGGAGGGTGGGTGAGGCGCTATTGTATATATGGCATGGGATATCTGTTGCACACAAGGGTGGACAGGGCCCCCTTTGGCAACACGTGGATTCATATCTTGTTGTTGATTGAAATTTTCGAGTATTGGATTTTTTATGTATTTGTTTATAATTTTTTCCTTTTTCTCGTTAGCTTAGTTTGTATTTCGAAGTTTAAATCACTTTTGATGATCAACGGATGTCTTTTCGATATCTTGGGTTAATTTTTTTAGTAGATATTTCTCTGTAAGGTTTGTTTGGATGGATAACAAAATTTCTAACCTTTATTAAATTTTTCTTTCCGTATGATGATTATCCTATAATGAGGATCTTAATGCCTATAAAAAAAAAAAAAGTTCGTTATTGAGAAATGTGACGAGTGGGAGAAGAAGGGGAAAGAATTATTGGTGAACAGATATTAATATATTTATTGTGACGATTTACCTAGTTCATGCTGTCAACGAAAACGACTCGATATCTTATATGAATATTACTTCCAACAATTATCCTTCCCGATGAGAATCTTCGTACTGAAAATATTCAGGAAATAACAGCTAAGATAATTTTCATTAAAAGAATATTATTTTCTTAGATCGAAGAACAATCAACAACTCTTTTTAAATCGATTAGAAAATGTCTGTTGAACGAATAACCTAATTTATTCTTCAATTAATAAACAAAATTTCGTATATCAAGCCGCGTGTAAACATCACGAATTAATCCTTTGCACGATCGAATTATTATTAGCAAAATTTTCCATGCTACGAATTACAAAAGTTATCGAATTGTTATTATTGATATTCTCTGGTATAACGACAAAATAATTTGTTAATAAAGTGATCTAGGTTATTCTATAACGAATTTCACAAATTACATACCAGCTTAAAACTATTTCTCCAACAAAAATCAATAATCCCACAATTTATCATTTGTCACTTTTCCAATATTATTACTTAATAAAACAGTTAATAAAGCCACGAGATACGAAATAATAAAAGTTTGAAACAAATTTTCAAGCTTCATTTCGCGATGTAATATAATTTATATAACCTAATTGCTATATTTACATCTTTGTTATTATCCTTACACTCTTATATAAATTACACACATATATATATATATATATATATATATATATATATATATATATATATAT